ACCTCCTCCATTCCCCTACACCCCCTCCCTATCTCTGTCACCTCCTCTCACCGTTGGAGATCTCTGTGTTTGTCCAATCTCAGCCTTAAAAACCAGCCTCTGGGACTGAGACTTGGGTCATCCCTGTCCCCAAATTGGGGGAGGTGGCGGGGGGAATGGCTTAGGGTCAGATCCTGCCTGATTGATTGATGCCTCTGGGAGTTGCCTGGTTGAATTGGGTTAACGGTGCTAGACGAATGCAGTTTGTTGTTGTCCCAGACCAACGTTTCTGCTAAAAAAAAACACATGGGCACGTGGCCTTCCTTTCAGGGCAACACTCATCCTCTGATGTTTGACACCTTTCTAATACAGGCGCCACATCAATGCAGCGGCTACCAGTGCGGGTCACAGGCCGGGAATCCTGCAGCGGGTAACTCCCCTCCTGACTCTCCCCTCACCCCCCCCCCGTCAAAGCCTGTCCCACCATCGACAAGGCAGGAGGGTAAGAGAATACTCCCCACTTGCCCCTGGAAGGGGGCAGCTCCGACAACACTCGAGAGGCTCAACACCGTCCAGGATAACGCAGCCCCCAACCCCCTGCTCGATTGACACACTACCACCTCCCCCAACCTTCAACCCTCACTGACGCAGTGACAGATGGTTTGACTGAGAATGCTTGGCTGAGCTCCAAAACACCCTCCCTCCCAGCACCGCTGACACAGCAGTGTTTACCGTCTGTAAGACGCACCGCAGCGACTCGCTGAGGCTCCTCAGACACCCGACACCCTCTACCCCCACTCCCTGGAAGGACGAAGGGGGCAGTAGACACAGGGGTTGGGGGTGGGGGATATACCACCACCCCCCACCTCCGCAAGTTTCCCTCCGAGACTTCTATTCGGAACGGTATTGGAAGTTCCTTCAGAGTCACTGGGGTCAGGATCCCTCCCCAAATGGGAGGGGGTTGGGGGCACAGGCAGTGCGTGGGGTGTCCCTGCACCACATGGGACTGCAACAGTTTGAGGAAAGGCCCAGTTAGCGCCCCAGTGGGCCTCGCGGCCTACTCACATGATGTTGGCCTTGTGCACAGCAGTCACCTTCTTCCTCCCTCTGGCCCGGGCCAGCTCAAAGGCATACTCTGCGATCCGTCTAGAATTGTGCTCGGTGATGATCTTCAAGCTCTCTACCACTCCAGCCACGCTCTGCGGGTGAGACAGTCCATCGTGATGGCCTGGGCCCACCCCCGAAAATAAAAACCCGGAACGTTCACCCACGGGGCGCCGTTCCAGGGACAGAATTTGCAGCCACACACCCTCTTCCGTTATTTTTGTTGCAGTGGGATCTGGGCGACCCAGGACGTGAACCGCTAACCGGCAGTATGCAGAGGCAGCAAGAGTCTTGCTCCAACTGTAGGGGGCGTCGGTGAGGGGGTGGGGGGAAG